AAACTAACAGTTTCAGTGATGTTAGCCACACCTAGTACCTCAGACAGATGTAATCTGATAATTTACCTGAAAACAAACAGGAAGAGCATTTTCAGATTTCAATAAAAGATTATAAGGGCAAATTTTTTTTTTTTGATGGCATGCACAGATGAATTGTCCACCACAAAACTAGCAATGTGAGCTAAAAAATAAATAGTTAGTTTTAATTTCATTTGTACTTTAAAATCTTCTGCAATGCTGTAATGAAGTAAAAAGTAAAAAGGGGGTGAGTAAATTAACTGTAATAACACTGTTTTTCTTACTTCTATCTAGTCCCAATATCTAACATTTTTTTAATCAAGAAGAATTTTCTACACAAGCAAAACATATTGTCTTGTTTTAAGAAATAATATGCTAAAATAAAGTCAGTTTTCCTTAAAACAAGCAAAATAATCTGCTAATGGGCTAAGAAAAACAATCTTATGTCAAAAGGAAAAATAAGATTATTTTAATTTCATAAATCACACGACCAACATGCTAACAGTAAACTAATCATGCTAGCAAAATGCAAAACTTGCTAGATATGTTTAAAATGGCTGAAACATGTTACTAATGAGTTAAATCATGATCAAACATGTTAGCAATATACTATTAGCTATTCCCTGCTAAAACATGGTAGCAACCAGGGCTTGACATTAACACTCGCCAACCACGGGTGGATTTCAGCTGTGGCGGGTTAGAGAGCCACTACCAATAGCTAATTTTGCTGGTTGAAATTAATTTTTAAATTGTACTTTTCTTTAAAGCAGGGTTCGATAATAAGGATGGCCTAATATGCATGCAAATGTGATCTTAAAATTGAGAAACAGCACGACTGACAAAACTAATTGTGTTCGTGCGAGCAAAAGAAAGCAGGCGAATTTTGTAAGCAGCGGTCACTGCTTTCGCTTTAACCACTCTTTGAACAGATTATTAACTGGCCTAATGTTAACTGATCATCCTTTTATCATGACACACGGTATGTTTTTCACCTGCTTTCTTTTGCTTAACATTATTTTTGCTAATATGGTTTAATTATAATTTTTTACAGTAACATTGCTTTAATGGGAGATTAACTCCCCATTTATGTGTAGGTAACTGGTGATCAGGAACATTTAGCCAGGACAAATTACTGTGCATATTTTAGACACATGACAATAATTGTTTTTTTTTAATGTCAATGTTTTTTTAAGGAAATGTTTTGTTAAATAAAAGGTATAGTATACAGCTATATTTTGCTTATTTTGACACATTTTAAATGTATGGCCAAAAAATTATTTATTTATGTTTGGTGTGGTCAGAGATAAATTTGGTAAATCCTTAGTGTTAAGCCCTAAAAAAAGTAATGTGAAATAAAAACTCATTGTAATATGACACTAAACCATGACCCATTTGCTCATGCTCATTGTGCAAGCTCATACATGACACAAAAAAGTGAAATAAATGAGGAGGCATGTGGACAAAACACAAAAACTAAATCAAGTAATTTTAGCATGTCAAAGTCATATATACATATAAAATATAAATTCCCAACAACAAAATTGTGGCTAGTGAAAATGCAGAGTGGGTAGTAACATTGGAAAACTAGAAGCCACAGTGACTGGTGACCAAAAAAGTTAATGTCAAGCCCTGGAGCTGCTACTAAAAAAGCTCTATCACCTTGACATTTTAAGCGTGATTTTGGAACTTTCAAATAGAGACGATCCTTAGAGCGAAGAGATCTCACAGGTTGGTGTATATTAGTTAGCTCAGAAATATACTCGAGGGCCAGGACATGGAGGGACTTAAAAACATACAACAGTACTTTGTACTGAATTCTAAACTGGATTGGCTGCCAGTGTAGAGAAACCAGTACAGGTGTAATGTGTTCTCGTTTTTTGTGCCTGTTAAGAGCCTGGCAGCTGCGTTCTGGACCAGCTGCAGTCGTGAGAGAGAGGCCTGGCTTACACCCAGATACAATGCATTGCAATAATACAGATGAGAAGAGATGAAAGCATGAACAACTTTCTCCAAGTCACTAAAAGAGAGGACAGACTTCAGCTTTATTTATCTAAAATTGAAAAAACTATTTTTGACAATCACATTAATTTGCCGATCTAATTTAAGCTCAGAGTCAAAAATTACACCAAGACTTTTTACAGAGAAGTGTATTTTTCTAGGAAGCAATGACAGTTTGCCAGTAGAATTTTAGTCTTTTTGACCAAAAACTATGAATTCACACATTTCCTCCTTCAGTTGGAGAAAGTTATTCGCTAACCAACACTTCACAGCAGCCAAACAATTAAACAAAGCCTGAAGGGAGGATCGATCCCCAGATTTTATGGGGAAGTAGATTTGAGAGTCATCAGCATATAGATGGTAATTTATTCCATGCTTTTCAAAACATTTTCCTAATGGAAGTAAGTAAAGGCAAATCAAAACAGGACCCAATATTGAGCCCTGTGGAACCCCACACATTAACTGAATGACAGATGAAGAAGAGTTGCCCAAACTGATTGATATAGTTCTATCCTTCAGATATGAAGAGAACCAATCCAAGGCCAGACCCTGGATACTAGCGTGTTCTCTAAGCCAATCAGTGAGAATATCATGATCCACTGTACCAAAAGCAGCAGTGAGATCCAACAGTAGAAAAACTACAGGGCTACCTGAATCAACCTCCAACAAAATATAATTTGAAACCTTCAATAGAGCGGACTCTGTGCTATGACCAGCTCTAAAACCTGACTGAAATTTATCAAAAATATTATTATTATGTTATGGTATTATGTTATATGTATTTATTCAACAGTTCTGTCTGGTTAATGAATCTGATTGGCTGATAGCCATTCGATATTTTGCCAGTAACATCACACAAATGCCTCTTCACCTTTCACCTCTGTGTATTACTTCGCCCACATACAGCCAGCAACAAGCAGAGACACCACATTTTGACAAATATTACTGTTGTTAAACAACAAAATGTACTTTTGAGGTCGAGAATGTAGTTGTTAAGATTGCAACTATGCAGTTTATTTGTAAGAATAGTGCCTATTTTAAAATATTTTCAATTTCTGAGAGAGCTCGTCGACGGCCATTAGCCTGCCATAGTGTAGAAGACGGTTGATGTTGTCTATCCACAAGATGGCACCAGGACCACTTAATAAGCCCTTGCTTTGATTAAAACTGTGTGTTTTCTTGAGAGTGAAGCTGAAAAACGGAAGCGTCACGGTTTTTAAGGTGGACCGGATCGAGTCAATAAGAAGCTACGAATAAATCCTGGTTTATACTTCTGCGTCAAGTGAACGGCGTGACCCACGGCGCATGCAACGCGCATAGCTGTGCATTTATACTTCTGCGCGCTGTCTCTGTTGGTCTGAATTAACACTTCCGAAACGCTAGTGGGCAGTGAGGTGTAAATGTTTATCTGTGTCGAGTTTCTACTCTGCTTTTTTGCTTTTCCTGAACACTTCCTGGATGAACAAGTGGCTCAAACTCGCTCATTTTGAGGCAGGAACCGGCGGACGTGCAACAACTTTAACTATGATGTAAACACAAAACAAAACTTTCCATCAGGAGCTCCTTCACGGGACTTCACACTTGTAAACAATCGCTCCACTGGGCTCGCGTCCAGCTCGCGCCATTCTCGGTCCCGCCCAGACTCGTCAACGCTACTAAGCCGACCAATCACAGAGCTTGCGCTACGCATCGTTGCGACGTGTAGTTACATTTTTTAAGAGGTGCACGTCAGCAACGCCAACGGCCATGGCGAAGGGCTATGCGTCAGCACCGTAGCATACGCCGGCGTTTGACGCAGAAGTATAAATCAGCCTTAAGAAGCTGGATTCAGCCTCGTCCCTCCTTATCGCAAACACAACAGCAATCTGATAGTGATTGCGCTGTTTTTTTCTAGTTTAATTATTGTGATATTGTAATGGTCGCTTAATGTTTGATATGCTTTGTGTATAAATGTCCCCTTTAAGAGGACTTCTTCTGTGGTTGTTTTACCTTTGAGATGTAAGCACGCATGTATGGGAGCTTAGTTCAGTTCTGGCGAGCTCTGAGAAGTGTGTGATGGTCGCTCTACCGCTTTATCATTCTTTTATTTCAATAATGTAACATTTTATTTTGCGACGGATGTTTGAGTGTTTTTTACTTTTCCTTTTGCCTACTCATTGTCGTTGACTGGCATGTATGCAGTCGACAGCACTTGGAAGAAACGCATAATACCGTCACAATACCGACGGCAACAGAGAAATACTGTAGACTGTAATAGACTGTAGGGAGAAATCTCTGTAGACGGATGGCATTTCATGTCACGTTCAGCCTCATAATCTTAAAATGTGAGCAAAATCTGCTGCTTTGCCATCACTTTAGACATTATGCTTTAGTGAGTCATTCAAATACTAGCTCTACAGTGACGTTGGTGAATTAGTAACGGCTTCTGCTGTTCTGACGTCAGCTGCAGATGTGAATGAATGGCGGAAGAAAGTAGTTCCTAATACAAAAGAGTTTTAGACTCTCTGTGTTTGATTATCTTTTTTTTTAAAGATTGTGCCATCAAACTGTTGTATAAATGCAATATCACACGAGTAGCAGTGCGATATGGCTGTATATCAGCACTGGTGGGACGCTAAGGCACTCGGTCTGTGGCCTCGTGCCAACAGACGGGTCCCACCAGTGCTAATATATAGCCATATCGCACTGCTACTCGTGTGATTTTGCTCATATACTGTATAACGTCAAAAGGAAAAGCAAGATTATTTTTCTTACCCCATTGGCAGATTATTTTGCTTGTTTAATGAAAAAAAAACACGTAATTTTGACTCATTATATCTGAAAGCAAGACTTTTCGTTTAAAAATGCTTCTTGATTTAAGGATTAGATATTTGGACTAGAAAAAGACAAAAACTCTAAGTAAGAAAGCCATATTTAGCTGTGAAGCACCCTTAGTAAGATTACTTTCTCACTTTTTGATCACTTTGCGTATGTGTACCTTGCAGTGATCTGAAGGCAGAAGGACAATGCAGAACATCAAGTGTGTGGTGGTGGGAGACGGAGCTGTGGGAAAAACCTGCCTGCTGATTTCCTTCACCACAAACGCCTTTCCCAAAGAATACGTTCCCACTGTGTTTGACAATTACAGCGCACAAGTGCTCGTGGACTCAAAAACTGTCAGTCTGAACCTGTGGGATACAGCAGGACAGGAGGAGTACGACCGTTTGCGTACTCTTTCTTACCCACAGACCAACATCTTCATCATCTGTTTCAGCGTCACCAGTCCTCCATCTTTTGAGAACGTCAAGCTGAAGTGGCACCCCGAGGTGTTTGAACACTGCCCGAATGTGCCCATCCTTCTAGTGGGCACTAAGAAGGACCTGAGGGACGATCCGGAGGAGCTGAAGAAGCTGAAGGAGAAGGGTCTGTCGGTGGTGTCCCAGCAGCAGGGGACGGCGCTGGCTAGACAAATACATGCCCGGAAATACATGGAGTGTTCAGCGCTCAGCCAGGACGGGGTGAAAGAGGTCTTCACAGAAGCGGCGCGGATTTTCCTTCATCCCAAACAACCGTCCTCCAAGAAATCATGTGTGCTGCTGTAAAACTGACAGGAAGTCAAAATGATTAGCCATTCTCTGAATTATCTTTCTCTTCTTTTTCAAATATTTACCAAATGATGTTTAACAGAGTAAGGGATTTTCACCGTAATTCCTATAATATTTTTCTTATATGGAAAGTCTTATTTGTTTTATTTTGGCTAGAATAAAAGCAGTTTTTAATTTATTTAAACCATTTTAAGGTCAATATTATTAGCACCTTTAAGCTTTATTTTTTTTTTGATTGCCTACAGAACAAACCATCTTTATATAATGATTACCCTAACTTGCCTAATTACCCTAGTTAAGCCTTTAATTGTCAATTTAAACTGAATACTAGTATCTTGAATAAAATCTAGTAAATTATTATGTACTGTTAACCTGTTAACCAGCACCCACTTATGGAGATTTACACCTACCTAACTTTAAATACAGTAGTAACAGTTGTTGACCCCAGTGAGCTACAATCAAAAAACAGATATCAATGAAAAGAAGTTACTTTGAGATTAATTATGGTCCATCTATAAATATAACATTGCAAAGCTTCCCATTAAAAATATGAATTAGAGAAATAGATTTGTAAGGAGGGGTACTTATATATGCTGAGTACTGTATATCATACCACACACTTAAGACAAACATTAAACAACATTAATAGTACTACAAAAACAGCAACTATCTCTTCCCATTAAAATTCAGCAAATCGTCAGTGCCAGTGGCGTAGTGGAAAGTCCACCAACACATGCACTCCGGTGTTCGAGGTCCTATGCCGATCCTTCCCCTCTCTCTGCTTCCCACACTTTCCTGTCAATTCTCTCTACTGTCCTATTCAATAAAGGCAAAACCCCCTATATATATATATATATATATATATATATATATATATATATATATATATATATATATATATATATATATATATATATGAAATAAAATAAAATTCAGCAAATCAATCGCACAAGGAACAATTAAATTTTTAATCTGTTAGCCCTTGCCAAAGGGACCCTACACAGCAAAATCCTTTGAGTAAAATTCTCTCAGTTATGAGGGAATTTGGTCCCTCTTTAAATAAGGGCAAACAGGTTAGTAATAAGTAAAGCTGCTGTTTGTGGAGTTGCTTAAAGATCCTCTGCTGAGAGATTCAATGTAATTCAATCTAACTGTTTCTGTTACTTTAAACTGAAGTGAGTTCTAGTTTTGTGTTTCTCTTCTGTGTTTCTGTTTATTTACAGCAGGTGTTCATCATCAGTGCTCAATCATCACCTCATTAATACTTTAAATGTCTCATTAACTTGAGTAACTTTAACTCAAGTTAGAGAGGGACCAAATACTATATAACTGAGTAAATTTTACCAGAGGATTTTGCTGCACTCATTTTTTATTTTTGCTTGTACAAATTACTTAATTAAAATTAGGTAAAACAACACAGTTCTTGAGATTTGATTGGGAAGTGCCAATAAAATCTCAAGAATTGTGTTGTTTCAGATCATCATACATTTTTTATGTTCAATCCACAGAAATTTGTTAAAAGTGTAAAGTTAACTTAATCAATTTGTGTTTGGTCAACATGAATGAATTCTGTGGAATAATTCCCTGCATGTTTTATAGTGTGTGTATACCGTGACATCCTGAGGGAAGGATTTGAAATGAATCAAAAAGTGAATGGGTCATATCAGATGTAATCTGATGGGCTTTCTTTAACACCTGGATTTTATACTAATAGGATATTAGGGTTAGGGTTGTGGTTAGGGTTGGTGTAAGTTGACATGTACTTGAGCAGCAGTATCAACAGATATTAAGCAGACAGTCTACTAATACTCAGTTGCACCATCAAAATAAAGTGTTACCGATAAAAAATCAGTTTTTAGAAATTAGCTATTTCGTTTAGAAATGTGTCTTCATTCTGTTAAACAGAAATTGGGGGAAATATACAAGGAGCTCATAAGTCATAAGGGCTAATAATTCTGACTTCTACTGTATGTATATTTTGACATGGCATATTTATGATGTGTACTGTAAATGAAAAATCACACGCAGAATGGTACTGGTAAAAATATTGTGGTAACACTTGAAAATACAAGGAACAATTCCGACCAATAACTTGTTGCTTGTCATTCTACATCACTTATCCAAGCCAATAACAAAATATAATTAAGCTACTACCTTACTAATTATTAATAAGCAGCAATTTAGGACTTTACTAAAGCAAATGGTCAACAACACAAATGTGGCCTTAAAATTCAGTGGGACCTATTCTCCTTTACTTCTCCTTTAAAAGAGAAAAACAGCACTGGGATTGTTTATTTTATTTGTACATTTTTTTTGGAGAACGATACTGTATGTTGAAATATAATGTGTAATTTAATAGCAGCAGAACAACTACACAAATTAATGAAAGAAATAGCAGAGTAAGTGGACACAATATGTGCCTAACTTACTGAAAAATCGAATGTGTCTTATAAAGGATTGAACAGATTTTTGATGATTGATATGTACATATAAATATATTATATACTGTATAAATTAGTGCAATACTAATAAATAAAGGTTTGTATTTACATAATAAATGTCTGTACTGTGTATATTTATTATGTATATGTAAATACACACATTAATGCATATATTTGATTAAATATTTAGCAATTTTAGGAATAAAAAATAGGATGTAGGAGGATATACATAAATGTAAATATCTGTGGAGACATTTTGTATATTTAATGTTTATGTATGTGTATGTTGCACGGAAATAAATAATAAATATATGTAATATGCACACAAATATTATGTTAAAACACACTTAATTTGAAAGCGATTAATATTGATTGAGCTTTGCTTGCTCTCTCTCTCTCTGTATTTCTATCATTTGTTATATAATTACATTTTAAGATAGAGTTGAAAATCCACACACCTTTTAGACCCATGTATTATGCTTGTTATATTATAATTTTTTAAAATAATGTCATATTGAAGTTTTTGAACAGTTTATGTGATAGGATGTAACACTATAGTAAGTAAAATAGGTCATGTTGACCATCTGACATGCTTTAAAGTGGACCTACTATGACCCTTTTTTATAATATATAAAAAGTTCAGCTCAAAATACCCCCACAAATAATGTTTAACTCTTTGAAACTGACCCTATTAGGCTTTTATCCAAAATGTGCAATTTTAGTGACTGTCGCTTTAAATTCAAATGAGATTTTAAGGGCTGAGCTACACCTGCCTGTGTGTCAGCATAGTGGCAGATTCAGAAAAAAAGACTAACGTCGCGTGCTAATGCGGTAGAGATTGTCTCTAATAGGTGGGGCATTCCCCCTCTGATGACATGTACAAAGTAAGAATGTCAATCAAAGTGTTTCTGCAGACTGTTTTTATGAAGTCTGATTATAAAAAATACAATTAATGGACTTAACTTGTTAACAAAGGTCTGGCAACGAAACCACGTTTCACTTTGCCTCCTTAACCAATCACCTCCTAAAACTTATTTAAGGCAGACCAGCCCTCTAGCACCATTCTTCTTATTCTTTCAAACCCACTCTTCCTCCTCACTTCCAATTCACAACCCTATAACCCTCTCTTCACTCCTACTGTAAGTTGAGTGGGGGTTGGGGGGGGGGGGGGGGGGGTGTCCAATCACTCTACCAAAATATTACAGAGATGGTACCCCCACTCTAAGTCTTTAGGCATCATCGTATAGGTCGCCTGATCAACCTGATTCCCTTAATTTCCTTCCCCTTCATCCCACTGTTCTCTTGCCATCACCACAATTAAGTATAGCTAAAAGTGTGCCGGTGAAATACATTTTTACAGTTAGAAGCTTGTTATATTCACAGACTCTTGCTACACAACTGTGTTTATACCCCTTATAAAAGTCATGTTTGCTTAATAGTTCCCCTTTAAACCTCAAATTACTTGCTGATCTTTAAATCTTCCATACTTCTTTAAACTAAGTGGATTCAAAATAAGAGTTTTTTTTATTTAAAGCTAAATATAAGCCAAATGTGGTAACAAAGCTGTCACTGATTCAAACTCTGGTCATATAAATTAAATTTATTATAAACAATCAACTATTCTGCATCAAGAAACCATGAAGATGACTTTATGTATGCAAGCAAAACATGATTTTTAATGTAATGTGTACTTTCATACGTATTTACTGTAAGTTACAGCATTTTACTGTTGAAAACAAGAGACATTGTGCCATTTCAGACTTCTTTTGCATGCACTTCCACAATATTAACGTTTTCAATAAAATGCTGATGTACTTTTCTGCTCATGTTAATAAAACGAGGAACCGTTGATGCAAATCTGTGCTCTACACACTTACCACAATTACAAAACATGAAACTTATTAGTTTCGGGTTCATTTTTTTCCCATTCATTTTAGGCTCGTTTGGGAGACGAGTTTGTGGCTGCTTATGAAGCGCTTTTCATTCTTTCCATTTACCTTCTTTTGTGCTGATGTTCAAGTCTTTTGTTAGTGAGAGAAGAAATGAGAAAAGTTCACTTCCCTCATCCAAATCCACCGCTATTTCTGTCCTGTCTGCAGTCTTGATTTTGCACTGAATGTCTGAAGAAAGAGAGGGTAAAAAAACTGAGACAGACTCATTGTTATCAGGGTAAATTAAATATTACATTTAAAAAAGAGAATCAAAGTCATTGTTATATGGAACAAAATAAAAAAAATCATTACTTTAGATTAAGAACCGAATCAGAGATATCTATGAAAAAATATCTATAAAATTAAAATAAATTAAATACATTTAAATATTTTTTTTTTTTAATTCTTGGGGTTGCATTTCAGATTAAACTGAGCCAGACTCACTGCTATCTGGGTGAAATAAAACAAAATAAATTTAAAAATTCAATAAAAAATGTAAAAACTGAATTAAAGACTTTGTTATATGGCAAAAAGTTAAATCAAATTAAATCTGAGTTATCTGGAAAAAGTAATATGTAAAAACAAAAAACTTAATTAAATTAAATCAAATTAAACTAAATGAAAATAAAATATTGGGGTTGCAGTATTACTGGAGTTAGACAATACTATCTGGGTAAAATAAAATAAAATACAATTAAGTAAACATTAAATTTAAAAAACAGAATCGAACATTAAAATAAATTAAATTAAATCTGGGTTATCTGGAAAAAGTAATATGTAAAACTTAATCATGAGTATCTGGCAAATTAAATTAAAATAAAATATTGGGGTTACATATAAAAAAACACACACTCAATGTTATAGGTAAAATAAAATACAACTACATTAATGAAATGTTAAATAAAAAAACAGAATCAAAGAACATTAAAAAACAGAATAAAAAACAATAAATTAAATTCATTAAATCTGAATTATCTAAAAAAAGATTTAATCAGAGTATCTGGCAAATTAAATTAAATTAAGATAAAATAAAATATTGTTGTTGCATATTAGAAAAAACTCAATGTTATCTGGATAAAATGAAATAAAAATAATTAAATATTAAATTTAAAAAACAGAATCAAAGAACATAAAAAACAGAATAAAAACAAATTAAATTAAATTTACTGGGAAACTAATATGTAAATCAAAAGAATCAAAGTCATTGTTATACAGGAAATAAGAATTAAATTAAATTAAAAATATATAATTAAATTCTGAATTATCTGGAAAATATGTTAAAAATACTTAATCAGAGTATCTGGCAAATTAAACTATAAATATTAAATGTCAAAATCTGGAAAAAAAAAAAGTATCGGGCAAACTAAATTAAAATATAGCATATACGAGAAAAAAAAACAACAAGTCAGACTCAATGTTATCTGTTTAAAATAAAATTAATTTAAATTTAAAAAATAGTATCAAAGAACATTAAATTAAATTAAATTCAGAATTATCTGGAAAATAATATGTAAAAAAAAACTTAAAGTTGATATAAAATATCGGGGTTACATATAAAAGAATATATATTTTTAAATAAATAAAATTAAATTAAAATTAAAATAACATAAAACTAAACTAAATTAAATATTAAATTTAAAAAAACAAAAGTGTTGTATGAGAAAAAAAATAAAAATAAAAGATAAAATTTTTAATCTGAGTTATCTTGAAAATGAAGTTAACTTTAACTAAATAAAAAAATATATTGCATATTGGAAAGGTAACTGAGTCAGAATCAATGTTATCATGGTAAAATTAAATAAAACGAAATAATGTAAAATAAAATATTTAATTTAAAAACAATCAAAGTCATTGTTATACAGAAAATAAGAATTCAATTAAATAAAAAAATAATTAAATTAAATTCTGAATTATCTGGAAAATATGTAAAAAAAAATAAAAAAAATGAAAATTGGGGTTGTGTTTAAAAAAACTCAATATTATCTGGCGCCTTACAGCAAGAAGGTAACTAGTTCAAGCCCCGGCTGGCTCAGTTGCCGTTTCTGTGTGGAGTTTGCATGTTCTCCCCGTGTTCGCGTGGGTTTTCTTCGGGTGCTCCGGTTTCCCACACAGTACAAAGACATGCGCTATAGGTGAATTGGGTAAGCTAAATTGTCCGTAGTGTATGTGTGTGAATGAGTGTGTATGAATGTTTCCCAGTGATGGGTTGCAGCTGGAAGGGCATCCGCTGTGTAAAACATATGGTGTATAAGTTGGCGGTTCATTCCACTGTAGCAACCCCTGATTAATAAAGGGACTAAGCTGAAAAGAAAATAAATGAATGAAAACAATCAGGGTATCAATTAAATGACATTAAAAACTGAATGAGAGCTATCCAGGAAAAAATAAAAATAACATTAAACTAAATTAAAATAAAAGAAGTCCAACAATAGAAAACACGTTTTTCTGATTCTTCATCTCAGAGTACCCGGTGTAGTATTTCCCTCAGAGTGATTTGACAGTAAAATGAAACAGACTCTGATAAGACTACACAGTTTTACTCTCAAACAAACACTACTGTTCATTGACCTAAATCCTGACCACAGGCCAGTGAATTTGATGGAATTCAGTGTAAAACAGCAGCCTGCCTGTCTTTTTTCAGCTCTTGTGCTGTGGTTTTCATTATGTTTAACATTTTGTTTCATTTTTAGCAACACGACGATACAGATACAACTTTTTTTTGAACAGACAAACTGCATGAATCTACTGTAGTTGACTGTGTATAAATGTGCTCCTCGTTCTAAAAATGATGTTCTATAAAATGGACAAACAGCGCCTCCCTGTGGGCTATGTTTGAAAACACCGCATTTAAACGTGTAGGATGTGCTAATTTGCTTATTGAGAAAAAAATATTCTTTCATTCATTCATTCATTTTCTTGTCGGCTTAGTCCCTTTATTAATCCGCGGTCGCCACAGCGGAATGAACCGCCTGAGAAAAATATTAAATATATTATTGAAAACACTAAATTAATTTTAAATAAATTAAAAACAGAATCAAAATCACTTTTATATGGTTAAAAATAAAATAAAATTAATTCATTAAATATTTAAATTAAGTTAAATTAAAAACTGAAACAGAGTTATCTGGGAAAAATAAAATAAATAAAATAAAATAAAAAAACTTAATCAGAGTATCTGGTAAATAAAATAAAATAAAATAAAATAAAATAAAATAAAATAAAATAAAAAACTGAATCAGAGTTACCTGGAAAAAAGAAAATGTAATAAGACTGAAAAACTTAATCAGAGAATCTGGCAAATAAAATGAAATTAAATTAAAATATTGGGATTTTTTTTTAATAAAATAAAAATGTTAAATTAAATAATTTAACTAAGTTAAATTAAAAACTGAATTAGAGTGATCTGGGAAAAATAAAAAAAATAAATAAAAAAAAAAACATAATCAGAGTATCTGGTAAATAAAATAAAATAAAATAAAATAAAATAAAAAACTGAATCAGAGTAACCTGGGAAAAATAAAATGTAATAAGACTTAAAAACTTAATCAGAGAATCTGACAAATAAAAATGAAATTAAATAAAAACATTGGGATTGCATGAGTCAAACTCATTGTTATCTGAATAAAATAAAACATAAAATATACAATAATACATTTAAAACAGAATCATAGTAATTTTATATGGAAAAAAATATTAAAAATGCTGAATTAAATAATTACTCAAAATTTAAAAAACCGAATCAGAATTATCTGGGAAAAATAAAATGTATAAATTTTTTTAATTTAAAAAAGTAAATACTTGGGTTGCAGATCATAAAAGCATGTCAGAGGTTGTTACATTTATTCATATGAACCAAAACAACACAATACTTTGAGATTTTAATAATTATTAGATGATTTTAAAGACGCAATAAAGAGATGTTTTTGGCAACAACTTAATTCTTTTATGTTCAATTCACTTAAAATTAAGTTAGGAGGAATTGTGTGGAACCTGGCATTTCCTACAGTGCATAAACCCTCCAGAGAAGTAAATTAATTAAATACAGTGTATAATAAACCAGGTTAATGTTATGTTTATTCACTTTGTGTTTTGCATTTGTACACTGAGTTTCACATTTAATTCAATATACATTTTTTACTATTATTTAAACAATGTTTTAGGTCAGTATTAAGTGGATGTATTGTGTATTTTGTGTGCATGGATGGATTACACATGTGCAGTATCAGGAGGATTAAGCGCATTCGTGTCTCTGTGTTCACTGTCTGTCTGTCAGCATCTGTCCTTTGATCTAAAAAACACGACTTCAAGCGCTCGGATGATTCTTTCACCTCTCATTTAATGCCTGATATTCAAGCTTGATCTGCAGTGAGCTGAACCGCGAGATGACCCACAAACATTTGCAATATTTCACCTTTTGTGTCGTCTGCCATATGATTATACCAGGTAAAGCATTCTTCCTTCTTACATATCAAGCTGCCATTGTGCTATTGTTGGTTACAGGTCACATTTATTTGATATTTCATTGCAGTTTGTAGCTGTAAAAGGATGTAAAATGTAAGTTTCATATAAAAAAGTGCTGTGAAATATATTAAAAATAGCATTATTTGCTTTTACATTAATATTTCTCTCATTTAAAAGTAATTTTAGCATTTTTATATACTGTTATAATACTAATATTTTGAATTATGAATATAAATGTATAAGGGTAATTCTTCACATGGACACTTTTATGTCCAAAAATATATATAATTTTGTTTAAATTCCTCTTTCTTTGTTAAACTTACATTAAAACCTACTTTTAAAAAAATGACTAGCTTTCTATTATATATTTTTAATATTATTCATCCTCCTTTTAGGTGTCAAAATCACTGTTTTCACCTTGTCACACACTCACAGTTTTAAACTTCAACAATGAAAATAACATGTTCAAATATTATTTATCTGGTGTCTATTAATGTATCTTAATGAAGCACTAGGCAAATAATTTAAATATTTTATAGTTACTAATGTGAGACTATTATCAATATTATTTTTGATACAAAATATCTGTCACACAGTATCAGTGTCATTTCCAGCACAACACTGTAATGTCGCTTTAAAAAGTTTGGTTAAAGATTATTTAGGTGGTTTCTATGAAAATGAATAGTGACATCTAAGCACAAGTTCAAGAATTTAAATTTAAATTAAAATTTTTATCAACAACACTCGAAGAAAAATCAAGGTAAATATTGCCTGATAAGGAAATACATTTATTCTACGTCATTTCCAAACATGTTGTACCTTTAAAGATGTTCTTAAAAACCAAACAAAATTAAAGGTAAATAAGAGTGTTTTGTATACATAAAAGGCTAGTCAAATCAAGTCCAAGCTAATCGATGAAGCTATTTTTCATTTCTTCACAATAAACTGTTGAAATGTCATTTCCACCACTGTCATTTCCATCACCACAACATTTTTAAAAAATATTTTAAAAATTGTTTAATACTTATTACTTTTATAGTCATCACATATTAAAAGTGTATTCACAATGTATAAGTGCATGCTCTATTTAATATACAAATTCAGTTTATTTGTTTTCTAATAAGCTCTTATCCAAATTTATATTAAATTTTCGAGTGTGACAGATGTACAATTCAGCATACAACTAATTTATTTCATCGACAAATGTATGTGGAAAGATTGGTTAAACTAGACACTAAATGATCTTAGACAATGTTTTAGTGTCATAAGTTATTTCATTTTAAAATAAGCTTTATATTGATGGCAAAACTTTTCTCTTCTTATCTAATTTTGTCCACTTAAAGATCTTGAAACTAGACAAATTGTTAATTTTGAACGAATTTCTTTTACTCAACTTCACAAGGCTAAAAGTACCCGTAGTTGAAGAATAGCCCATATATATTCACATGTACATTTATGTTTTGCATATTTTTACTAGCTTTGATCTATATACAGTTGAAGTCAGATTTTTTTTCTTTTTAAATATTTCCCAAATGATGTTTAACAGAGCAAGGAAATTTTCACAGTATGTCTGATAATATTTTTTCTTCTGGAGAAAGTCTCATTTGTTTTATTTTGGCTAGAATAAAAGTAGTTTTTAGTTTTTAAACATTTTAGAATAACATGTTATTTTTTTCCCCAATTTCTCTTTAACCGAGAGAAGATTTTTCAACATATTTCTAAACATAATAGTTTTAATAACTAATTTCTAATAGCTGATTTATTTTATCTTTGCCATGATGACAGTAAATAATATTTGACTAGATAGTTTTCAAGACATTTCTACACAGCTTAAAGTGACATTTAAAGGCTTAACTAGGTTAATTAGGTTAACAAGTTAGGATAATTAGGCAAGTTATTGTATAACGATGGTTTGTTCTGTAGACTATCGAGAAAAACATAGCTTAAAGGGGCTAATAATTTTGTCCCAAAAATGTTTTTTAAAAAATGAATAACTGCTTTTATTCTAGCCGAAATAAAACAAATAAGACTTTCTCCAGAAGAAAACATATTATAATACATACTGTGAAGTTTTCATTGCGCTGTTAAACATAATTTGGGAAATATTTAAAAAAGAAAATAAAAATCAAAAGAGGGCTAATATTTCTGACTTCAACTGTATAATACTCTGAATTGAGAGTTATTTTTGTATGCTTATACACTATTATAATAGTAATATTTTGAATTATATATATATATATATATATATATATATATATATATATATATATATATATATATATATATATATATATATATATATATATATATATACACACACACACACACATACATATATTCATGTTTTGCATATCTGGGCTGGCTTTGACACCTAATGAACACATTGTTATATGTATAATAAACATGATACATACTAAATTAAACATATGTCCATCCACTGTAAACAATAACATAAATATGATCAGTTATTAATAAATTAATATTATTCTATGCACTATTGCTCCCATTATTTTTATATGCATGTAAAAAGTAACAAAATATAATAAATGCTGTAGTTTTTTTTTAATGCATAATATTTTTTTTTATTTACATATAAGTTCTATGTTAAGCTGCTTTGACAATCTAAGCGCTACAGAAATAAAGATGAATTGAATTGAATATATTACTCTGAACTGTCGTGACAGTTACTATAGAATGTTATATACTATTATAAAAATAATATTTTGCAATTATGCAAATAGAATTTTTATATTCATGTATACATTAATTTTATGCATATTCATTTTTATTCTGGCTTATTTACCTTTATACACACACACACACACATGCACGCACGCACGCACGCACGCACACACACACACACGTATATAATACACCTAATGAATCCATTGTTATATAAAAAACAAAATGAATAATAATTTGAACTTACGTCCATCTATATGTGATATCATAAATACAATAAATGAATACTAAATTAAGATGTATTCAAGTCTTTCCACTGCTAATATTTAATAATAAAATTATATGTAACTAAATTTATATAAATATTTAACACTTATATTATTTCAAGTTATATGTATGAGTGAATATCAAACAATAGTGTATGTATATAATATATAATATTCATTACATTTTAATTTTAAATGCATTTCAGTTTGTATTTGTTTATTTCATTTGAAATATTTGACATTTATATTACAATTATTTCAAGTAAACATTTCCAGTTGATATATAGAGCTACATTTTACATATTAAAAGGTTGACATTTGATACAATACAACTACATTTTACTAAACAAAAAACATTATTTTGATAATTGTGGTTTTAGTAAATAATAACCCTGATTGACATCACATTCAACATGATAATCCTTTCAGTAAATCTCTTTTAAAGCTTTATAAAAAACCATAAAGCAGTTGCAGACATCTGGCAAAACCCAGACCTGTGTCTATACCACTCAAAGCTGCTCTTATAACTCCTTAAACACAGTAATTTTCCACTAACGCAGGTATTTAACACTGCATTACATGAGCTCAAATCAAGCCCCATACAGTCAGACATCATGGTTTATGTTAATGGTGCATGAGAGCAAAGAATAACAGTGTTTTATTACCTCTCTTCCAATAACAGTCAACGTCAGTATATGACGGAGATGCTTAATGTCAGATTTAGTCAGTCTGTGCTGTTGTATAGCTGGCGACGGTTAATCTAGCAGGAAATCTCTCCTCTCCACTCTTCGTGATGAAGCCATCTGTCATGTGGACATGTGTTTCTGACAGGCAGCTCTCATTTATTACTGGCCAGTAGCATAAAAGCATGCCAAACAACTGCATATACAGAGCAAAATGTGTGCTGTTACCTTGATTGCTGTCATCATTTAATCACTTTGTTAGACGTCGTCTGTAAGATACCTGTTTCATACATGTAAATGTTGAGAAATTTAGTCCTTTGGGCTTTCAATACGGTTGTTTTTTTTTTTAAGTTTGATGAATCCAAATCAACTGAGATGTGTTAAAATTGAGCAAAATGTATATTTGCACTTTGAAATAGATTGCTTTGTCCTCACTATATTACTTTGTTAGACATCATTGGTGTCTTTTGAAAGATTGCGGTTTCGTGTACGTGTTAATTCTGAGAAATTTCTTATTTTTGGCTTTCCATAGAGTTGTTTTTTTTATCAGTTTAATAAATATAAAACATCCACATTAACTGAAATCTGAAAAAAGTGAAAAATGTATGTTAATACCTTGAAAAAAATAGCTTTGTCCTCACTTTATTAGACATCAAATGTATCTTCTGTAAGATATCTGTTTTATGTACCTGTGAGTTTTGAGAATTTGTAAATTATGGCTTTCCATAAAGTTATTTTTTTCAATTTGATAAATAGAAAACATACAAATCAACTGAATTGTGTAATTAAAGTGAAAAATATGTTAAAACATTGAAAAAGACTGCTTTTCCTCACTTTATATAATTTTTAGACATCGTTGGTGTCTTCTGAAAGGTAGCAATTTCATGTACCTGTAAATTTCGAGCAATTTGTCAATTTTGGCTTTTTATAAAGAGTTATTTTTTCAGTCTGATGAATACACTCTCAGAAATAAAGGTACGCGAGTTGTCACTGGGGTAGTACCTTTTTAAAAGGTACAAATTTGTAACTTAAGGGTCCATATTAATACCTCAAGGGTACATATTAGTACCTTAAAAGTACAAAAAATGTTCCTTTAAAAATCTTTAGGTACTAATATACTGAATACTATTTTTTACTGTATTTTTATACATTAAAACATTTTACAGAACAGAACATTCAGTGACAGCAGCGATTATATATATATATATATATATATATATATATATATATATATATATATATATATATAAATATATATATTATATATATATAAAAAAAAAACAGAAAACAATAACCCTAGATGTAAATAAAAATACATTACAAAAAAAAAAAAAAAAAAAAAAACATTATTTTCAGTGTTGAAGGAGCTGGAAATATTATCTCCTGTTCAGATGCAATGTAGCAGGTGCCCATCTTTGTTTAAAAATATCCATTTTCAATTGAAGTTGAGCAGTCATATACTCCATTCTATATATAGATTAGATATAGAAGTTTTTCCATCCACTGTACTATTGTTGGAGGTTGTGGCTTCATTCAATTTATTGCTATAGTCTTTCTTGTGCTTAGTAAAAGTATATGTAGTATCTCTGGTTTTTATTATATATATTCTGGGGTAACCTTTTAAGCAAGAAAAACAGGGGAATAATATACACTTTTGAGGAACCAAAATGGACCCTATAGGTACAAATGTGTACCATTTTAAATAAGGTACCACGCCAGTGTCAACTCGCGTACCTTTTTTTCTGAGAGTGTAGAAAACATCCCAACCAACCTAAATGTGTGATTAAAGTAAAGATCGTATGTTAATGCCTTGAATTGCCTTGAAAGCTGCAGTACTCAGGGAAATTGTCTGACACAAAAAATACAGTACCAGTAGGGGGCAGCCGAGCTACATTCTCAGTAGTGGCCAATTCTAAAGGAGGGGAGTCTGCCGCAGGTGGCTGTTTCTCTGTGGAAGGAGGAGGTGTTTTCTCCATGTTTTGTTCATATTTGCTAAAACCTAATAAAATGGTTCGTCTGGGATAATTGTGTTTTTTGTTTTCTGATAAGTAAAATAGACACATTATAGAATTTTAGACACAGTATTGTCAACTCGCGCCATAGCTCTAACTCACCACAGCATTGGCTCTAATATTACATTTTCGACTGTAGGCCTATTAGTAACATAAATAAAATACATATATAAATCAAAGCCAGCACAAAGTGAATATGTATGGACAAACAGAAAGCATTCAAATCTGCAGAAATATGTGATTACATCGAACAAAATGTATTTTAGTACCTTGAAATAGTTGCTTTGTCATCACTTCGTTGTTAATGTCATCTGTGTTATCTGAAAGAATAATGAAGAAAATAAAAAAATTTAAATATACATAATGAATATCACATTTTTGGAGACGTACATTACGTAATGTCCACTCTTCGCACACCTTAATTTTCTGATTTTGATTATAATGTTATAACGTGAAGCTTACTGTAGGTAAAGCTGCTTTGGAACAGTAATTATTGCAATATTTGCTATACAGATTTACATGAATTGAACTGAACAATGCAAACAGTTTTTCATGCAGCTGTTAATTTTAGGAATTATGCCCTTTTGGCTTTCCATAACAATTTTTTAAGTCTGAAGAAAAGAAATACATCCAAAAGAACTGAAAAATGTAATTAAACATAAACATTTTAATATGTTTAGGAAATTTAAATAAATTGCAATTCATTCATTTTCTTTTCGGCTTAGTCCCTTTATTAATCTGGGGTCGCCACAGTGGAACGAACCGCCAACTTATCCAGCATATGTTTCATGCAGTGGATGCCCTTCCAGCCGCAACCCATCACTGGGAAACATCCACACACACTCATACACGGTCAATTTTTTAGCACACCCAATTCACCTGTACCACATGTCTTTGGACTGTGGGGGAAACCAGAGCACCCGGAGAAAAATATTATAATATACTTATAATATTATTCATTATATTACTGCTTTTAGCACCCAAAAAGTGGAGTGCCAAAATATACAATCATATGATTTTATACTATATCCTTAAACAATTCTTTCTTTCTTTGTTAGTTTGCTGGGGAGCCAATGGAATATATGCTCAAAAACTGCTCAATGATTTATTTAACAACTACACAAGTGCTCTGAGGCCAGTGGAGGATACAGAAGACATCCTGAACGTCACGCTTCAGATCACCCTCTCCCAAATCATCGACATGGTACAGTAATATCTCACCCTTTATACACAAATGACCACACTGGAGACAAAATGCTGACATTTACTACACTATAAAAAAATCACAAGACAAAAAGTCATGAAAACAAATGAAGTGCCATCTGAGATTTTCTTTTAAAATGAGCATTTTTCTCAGGCTCCTATATCTTGATTCAGTAATTTAACTTTTATGGCAAAGAATAGGTAAATTATATCACTTTTAACATGAAATAACTGAACATAAACATAAGAGGCTGAGAAAAAGGCTCTTTGTAGAAGAAAATTCCACAGTAGTATAGAGGTTTTTGCCACTGAATTAAAATATTTTATGTTATTTTTACAAATACAAATCAGTTAATTGGGTTTCAACTAAATTAATTTTAATTATACAAAGTTTAACTTAATAGTTTTAGTCAGTTTAACTGATCTAAGTTGAGTTGACTATAAAAGTTTCTTTGACTCAACTAATTAAAATTGTAGGCTGGAGGAATTGCTTTTACAGCGTAGTATAACAAGCACAGACCAATGCAAACAACGTGAACACTGTGCCGTTATTCATTTAGTAAGAAAATAAAAGAAGAATGATGCATTTGATTGGTCAAAATGGTGTGTTTATCCTACAAATATTACAATAGCTTTGTTTACATATTAGGCGGCATTTGGTAAGAGAGGCTAGTTCATTATATCATTTGCAAAGTGGAGATTCTGAACAAAAAATCAGGGGTTTTTAACATCTTTATAAATAAAATATTGCACTAATTAATTAACAGGGAAGTTAAGTAAGTAAGTAAGTAAGTAAGTAAGTAAGTAAATAAATAAAGTAAATAAATAAATAAATAAAAAACTGTGGGGTTTTTAAATGATTTCTGAACATTAAAAAATAAGACTTGTTTAAAATTATTCAGCACCTACGTGAAAAAAATGTTTGTTGTTTGTTGAAACTACTTACAGTATTTAAAATAAGCTAGAACAACACAATTCTTCAGATTTTATTGGCACATCTTCATTTTTTGTTCAATCCACTTAAATTTGTTAAAACTAATAAGCTAACTCAATTCCTTCATGCTGTCACAACAAGAATCAATTGTGTGGAAACTATTAATTCAGTGAATTTAATACTTTTTGGGTCTAGAAGGTTTTATGTTTATTGATATTACTTTTTAAGACCTTGCAGAAACCCTGAATAAGAATGACCAAGAGCTTCCTCATTTTTTTTTTTGTTTGCTTATGTATTAGACTTTTTCCACATTATTTAATTATAAGTACATTTTATTACACACATTTTGCATAATCAAAATTATTTCCACCTACTAAGATGCAACATTCTGTTTCAGGACGAGCGTAACCAGATTCTGACGGCATATTTGTGGATACGGCAGGTGTGGATCGACAAGTATCTCACCTGGAATAAAGAGAACTATGATGGACTTGACACCATCCGAATTCCTGGTAGTTATGTTTGGAGACCTGATATAGTTCTATATAACAGGTAAGTTAAATTTGTGTTGGATTTGACTTGTTTAATTGCTCTTTCTCCTTTGGCCACAAGGAGGCAAAAGTGGAACGCTTAAAGGGATTGTTCACGCAAATCTGAAAATTCTGTCATAATTTCTGTCACAAACCTGTTTGAGTTTGTTCTTCTGCCGAACACAAAAGGAGATATTTTGAAGAAACCTATAACAAATTTATTGACTTCCATAGTATTTGTTTTTCCTACTATAGAAGTTCCAGGTTTCCAGCATTCTTCAAAATATCTTCTTTTGTATGACTTTTATGATATGTGTTCAGGGTTACTCACAAACAGACTATTATTTTTGTTTTCTAAACAAAGATCTTAAAGCAATGGGATCAAAATTAGTCCCTCAAAAAACTTCTCTCATTTTATTTTTAGTCACTGTAAACTTGTTTTATTTATCGTTTTGCATTGCATTATTGGAGCTTTATTTTATCTCCAGTGCACCATCAAATTTGTATGTAGTAAATTTAACTCCACAGTCAAAGTGTCAAATGTCAAATGTCAAAGTGACTTTTTTGACATTTTTAATACTTTCAAACAGTATATTGTATAATAAATAGCATATAAAGAAATAAACCCATACAATGACAGAAAAAGCACTAGCAGCATATAGACATAGCAGGCCCGGCTCCAGCTTGAAACTTTAGGGTGGGCCAAAAAAATAAAAATAAAAATAAATAAATATATATATACATACATACATACACTTGTTAGTGGTAAATAGCTAATACATTACCATTTAGAGCCTATTAAATTTTTTTTCGCATATAAACTCAAGTTCAAGTTCATTTATTCATAATGCACATTTAAAAGCAGTCACAAGACTGACCAAAGTGCTGTACATAAGACAAGATAAAAAAAAAAAAAAATAAAAGACAGAATATAAACACAAGAAATAAAGCAAGCGAAACGTCTGTAAAGATGTAAAAAATTAGGGGTAGAATGAACTATTAAAATAATATTAAAAAGCCAAGCTAAAAAGGTATATAACATGTTTTAATTGATGCACACATGGCCTTTAGCATGCTTTATCATAACGCTCTTTGTGTGTGCGCCGGCCTTTATCACACTGTAAAAAAATTACAGAACAAAAAGCCATCACAGCAAAAGCTTTTATGTTAATTTATATTATTTTGAAGGTATTTTTTAAAGTTATACAAAGTTTACCTATTTTTTTAGTCAGTTAGATTGATGTAAGTTAAGATGACTAGAAGAAATAATTTGATTCAACTAAACATTTATTGTTTCCCCCACAAGTCCAAAGACACATGTGGTTGAGTGTTTAAACTTTAAGCTTTTTACTAAGCTTTTCACTCAACATAGCACATGTGCTGCTGCTTATGTGACTATATAAGTGATTTGATTACAAGTAAATTGGGTAGGCTAAATTGTCCGTAGTGTATGTGTGTGAATTGGTGTGCATGGATGTTTCCCAGTTATGGGTTGCAGCTGGAAGGGCATCCACTACGTAAAATATATGCTTTATAAGTTGGCGGTTCATTCCGCTGTGGTGACCCCTGATAAATAAAGGGACTAAGCCGAAAAGAAAATGAATGAATTAATGAATAAACATTTTAAGCACTGCAAAAACTGCAAAAATGCTGGGTCCCACATAATCGATTGTGTTGGGATAACATGAAGGAATTAGCTTAGGTAAATTGAATATGAATCGATTAAGTTGTCCCCCTAAAAATATCGAGTTTAGTTGTTTTAGCTCATTTAAATAAGTAGTTTAAACAAACAGAAATGTAATTTTTTGTGTGTATAATTGTTTTTTTTTTACATTGCACTATTCTTCATCTCTCTCTTACAGTGCAGATGATCACTTTACCAGCACTATGGACACCAACGTGGTCATCAGGCATGATGGTCAGATCATGTGGGACGCCCCAGCCATCACCAAAAGCTCCTGTAAAGTGGACGTCTCCTTCTTCCCCTTTGATGCCCAGCAGTGCCGCCTGACCTACGGCTCGTGGACCTACAACGGCAACCAGCTGGACATTCTGAACGCCATGGAAAGTGCAGATCTCGCCGATTTGGTCGATAACGTAGAATGGGAGGTGTTGGGAATGCCGGCCAAGCGAAACATCATTCTGTATGGATGCTGTGCCGATCCGTATCCTGATGTGACGTACACCCTGAAGCTGAAGAGAAGAGCGTCGTTTTATGTGTTCAACCTGCTGATCCCCTGTGTGATGATCTCTTTCTTGGCTCCTCTGGGTTTCTATCTGCCGGCAGACTCGGGAGAGAAGGTGTCTCTGGGTGTTACGGTGATGCTGGCGCTCACTGTGTTTCAGCTGCTGGTGGCTGAGATCATGCCTCCATCTGAGAATGTGCCTCTTATAGGTGAATCATTTGTGCTGTGAAAGATATACAGTAGTCAACATTTGAGGGGAATCAGAATGTTTTTTATTTTTTTTCATTTTTGTCAATGAAGAGAAGATTTTTTTCAATATATATATATATATATATATATATATATATATATATATATATGTGTGTGTATATATGTGTATATATATATATTAGGGCTGTTAAAATTAGCGCGTTAACGCACATGATTCATTTGAAATATTTAAACTAACACAATCTCATGACAATTATTAACTTTTTGATTTAGTGGCTAATTCGTATGAATTCGTATGATCTAATTTGTACTATTTACTATGGTTTGTCCATCACCCAATGACAGTTGGGTTTAGGGGTGGGCTTGGGTGCCACGCCTCCTTTTTAAAATCGTACATTTTTGTACGACTCAACTCGTACAAATTCGTAAGAATTAGCCACTAAATTGACAAAACATAAAATACGTACGTTTCCTCATGAGATCAGGCTGATTTAAACTGTAAAAAAAACGCAAATAATGCAGTTGCAGTTTTTTTTTACCTCCTGTTGTGTCCGATGTGTGTATAGGGACGGCGCGTGCATAGAGGCGACCTAGGCTGCCGCCTTGGGCAGCAGAATAGTGAGCGAACCAAATTGTCCTTGCGTTTATCCGCTACACCCACCCCCTTCCTTACGGCCCTCACTTTCATCCGCAAACCGCTCACTTTAGAGTTGAGGGCAGTGTGATTGCCTTTTGCCTAGAGCACCAGTTAAGCTTGCTCCGGCCCTGCGTGTGTTTAACGTGCTAAACAATTTGGATAAGACTAAGAACGCGCTTCTAGAAGGAAAGTTTCAGTGTAAAACAATGTGGCATAACCAGGCGATACTGCGTTGTAATGGAATTTGTTACCTCATGGCTGACGGAAAGAAAAACCTCCACATTTCACGACTCGCATGATCCTGTAAGGTAATCAAAAATCACTGCGCACATATATATAAATGTACTCAGTGAAAGTGGCAGATGAAGTCGCAAGCTGTCAAGGACAGCCCTATTCCCTGCCGCTACTTCCATGAGCCCTCACATTTCCTAAATTTGACGTGTTTCCCCCTACACGCAACTTTTGTCGGTATCCTTGCTTGTAAAATACAGCCATAGTTTAGAACGCTTTGATGAATGTGATTGTGCGTGTTGATGAATCTGAAGGGATCCCTCGGTCACCGGGTTCGCTGTACTGCGCATGTTGTCTGTGTGTGTGTGCATGTGTGTGTTTGTAGTCCACTTAGAATCCAACATGGAAATAATTTTTGTTTGTTATTGGCATTGATTATTTTGAAATTCAAATGGCACTTAAATGCCTTTGTTTTTATTTCTGTAGTAAATACGGCAGTTTGTGATTAATCATGATTAATTAATCACACTTTTTTGTAATTATGTAAATTTTTAAAAATAATTTGACAGCCCCAATATATATATATATATATATATATATATATATATATATATATATATATATATATATATATATATATATATATTTCCCAGTGTTGGGTTGCAGCTGGAAGGGCATCCGCTGCATAAAACATATGCTGGATAAGTTGGTGGTTCATTCAGCTGTAACTACCCCTGATTAATAAAGAAAAAAATAAAATGAAAGAATAAATATATAGTTATATTGTAAAAAAAAATGCAATATTTCCCAGTATTGTGCAGTCTTAATCATATCAGTGTCCTTTATTGTGTCTCTGCTTTTATATGCATTCTACAGGGAAATATTATATAGCCACGATGACCATGATCACTGCATCCACAGCCCTCACCATCTTCGTTATGAACATCCACCACTGTGGCCCAGATGCCAAACCTGTTCCAGACTGGGCCAAGAAATTCATCCTGCAGTATCTGGCCAGGATTTGCTTCGTCTACGAAGTGGGTGAAAACTGCATGACGCCGCAGCCAGAGAAACCAGATCCTCAACCGCAGAAGCCTCAGGACTGCAACTGCAACATGAACGGCCAAGCTGGAAAAGACGACTTTGTGTTTAAATTCGACAGAAATCAAGAAGCCACATCTCCGAAGCTGCTTGAGGACAGAGAAGATATGTCACAAATATTGAGCCCGGCGTGCTCACTAGGAAAACATCCCACCTGTCGGTATGGGGTGTGGAAGGAGGGAGTGTTCATGAGTATGGATTGCGGCGATGGAGCGGCTGAGACTGGAAAACCCATAGGAAGAGGACAGGAAGGGTGCAGAGATCATGACTCTGGGTTTAAATCACAGTGCAAGTGTGATCAGCAGCATCTCCTGAGGAATATTGAGTATGTGGCAAACTGTTACCGTGATCAGAGAGCTACGGCGAGACGAACAGGAGAGTGGAAGAAAGTCGCCAAAGTTCTGGACCGATTCTTCATGTGGCTGTTCTTCATTATGGTTTTCTTCATGAGCCTGCTTATAATGGGGAAAGCCATTTGACATGGAGGTGACTGAAAGAAGGACATGACTGAAATAATGCAAGTCTAGTAATATTTATTACAGCACTTCATACACACAAAATTTATTCAATTAAATTTATTCAATTTTTTGTAAGGTAAGTGGTTGCCAACAATTTATATGGGCTGAATTTAAACAAACAAATTAAGTTGAACATTAGTACATTGAATTTGTTTGAACTCGGCCCATTTAAATTTTTTGCAATAGAACTTACCTTCAAAAAATTTCAGTGTAGTAGATTGTTTGATTCTTCAAAGTATTTAATGATTGCAAAAGAGTTAGTGGTGAGAACTTCAAATAATGAGGCAAAATCACACATCATGAGTATACTGTTGTCTGATTCTTAAAAATAGACTTTATACAAACAAAAGCATATAGTTTAACTAGTGTTTCTCTATTCTCAAACAAATGACTCTAAGTGGGTTTTCATTAGTAAATAAAAACCATACAGCTCAAATGGTGTCTGATTCTCTGTTTCATTCTTTGGTTCAGTGTTTAGGTAAAAGCACGTGAACACAGGGAGAACAACCAAACTCCACACAGAAATGCCAACTGGCCTAGCTGGGACTCAAACTTGTGACCTTCTTGATGTAAGGCAGGGCCGAATTAACCAATGGGCATTATGGGCACAGGCCCAGGTGCCCATGCGCACTTGGGGCCCCTGCAAGGGGGGGAAATTCCAATTTTGGAGTGTCTATTAAGGTTAAGTGCACATAGCATACCTCAATGGAATAAGCTTGTAAACCAATTTCCGCCCATCACTGTTTGATTGACAGAGACACCATACCTAAGAGTGCCACTGAAGGGCCGTTATTACCATGAGTGGCGTAGCTCGTAAAGTGCATGGCATCATGATTTAATGTGATTATTCATCAACCTGGTTCGAATGCAGCGTCTGATAAATTCTTATTTTTTTTCCTCATTACATATCAGATTGGAAATACATTTATTTTTAATAGAAAGGAAATATTTTTGTTTAGAAATGAAATAATGAAACCGTGATTTAAAGTTACAAGTGGCTCGTGGGTTTTTATTAAGGGTAAGCTTATTTCATTTGTGTATAAACAGCATCTAAATATTTATTTTAAATATTCTATAAACAGTTATTCACCTGGTTTTAAATGTTAGCAACATTTTATTATAACTAATTTGTATTTACAATGAATACCCTTTAAATATATATATCTTAGTACTGCTTCAGTGAACTTGAACAAGTATACTAAAAACTATTAAAAATAAATATATGTTAAATCTTTTTTTGACAATAAATATATGTACTTTACAGGGGCGCCTGCAGGATTTTGTTCCAAGGTACGCACAAATCCAGGACCGCCCAGCCCCCTTCTGCCAATCATGTCAAGAAACACTGATGCTTGCTGTCAAAGGCTACATTATTTAAGGCCATTCGTTATGACATAATTTGTTTCCTTTTTAATTTTAATATTTCACTGAAATCTAAATAAAAGCACATCAGCACCAAGGAATCAGACGCTCAAGATGTAATCTTGAAAATGATGTCATATTAAAAAATGTGCAAATATATGACAACAGATTGTGATACAACACAATTAGTAAAGCATTTATTAAATCCTTACTTTTACTGACTCAAAATCTTCCATCCACACAGATGAGTAGTGGACGAGCTCAAACAAAAAATATAATTTGTATATTTTCTTGGAAAAAAAATATTTTAAAAAATAATTTCGTATATAGTTTGTCTCTTAAAACTAACTGCAGATATTGTGTAGATTTGCTGTATTTTCTCCTCCAAATGTCTCTCAGACCTTACAGCTAAAATATCACATATCTCTTAACGTGACAAAACATGCAGATCACTCATTGCGCCTTTGCATGTCAATATACTGTTGGCCCTCAATTTTAAGAGTAAATAATGTCACCTCTTTGCACAGTAGAGAACGCCTTTATCACAATTCAAATATAACTTAATAACCACAATCATTTTTAACTTGTTATGTTTCCAACAGACCAATGCTATTATCACTGCCGTCATACCTTTCTGAAATCTAAAGATGTCATACTTACATGTTGGACTATAGATATATTTGTGTCAAGCTGTCTGTGTTCTACATAATTATGCTATTTATTATACCCCTCATATTTGTGTGCTTGTAATAAGTGCAACAATCCCCAATTTGTTCAAGTCAGCTGAAAGAGGAAGTTCTCCAGTTGAGGAAGGATGCGTGTTGTTCATACATGAGTGTGGCATCTGCAGATCTCACAATAAAGTTTCCGAGAAACTGTGAAGGGTCTGACTAAAGCGGTAAGGACACTTTTAAATATAAATTTAAAAACTATATATTTTAATATTTTTTTTACATGTATGCCGATACACACAAACAAAGAAAACTAAATATTGAAGAATTGTTTTTAAAATAATCTTTGCATGTTTTTATACAAATTTCATGCAATGTTTACTGTGAAAGTTTCCACATGACTCCTTCATGTTGTCCCAACACAAATCGATAAAGTAAACCTAATTGTTTTTACAAACTTAAACCTTGTGTGCTGTTGGGGATGTTTTTATCCACTCTGGGGTGATTTTGAGTCTTACTTTTGTCACAACTTGCTGTGTGTTTCTGCAAATGGAATCATTTTTGGTGACAAAGTGTATTTTAACACATATTATAGAAAAATGCTTTGGAGCGTCTGTGTGTTATGTTTGAGAAAATCAAAATAAGCAGCACAGCTCTCAGAACTTGGTAAATTGTGATGACGGGGGATGACACACACAACTGGGTTTAGATCCAATATGCAGGTTTAATCGATGTCAGGCAAGCAATGGTCAATACAGGTGCAAACGGGTATATACAGGCAGTCCAGAATCGTATTCAGTAAACAGGCAAGAGGTCGTAAGGCAGGCTAAACAGGAGAACAAGGATAAACTAGATTCTTAAAGTTTGAGGACAAACTTTGAGGCTGGCTTGTGAACGCCTGATGGTAATAGTTTATTTAGTTTAAACAGTTTTAAAAAGTATGAAAAGATAGATAGATAGACAGACAGACAGACAGATAGATAGATAACCATGTTACTAGCATGATTCTAGCATACATTAGCATGTTAGTAGCATGATTCTAGTATAAATTAGCATGTTACTAGCATGATTCTAGCATGAATAAGCATGTTACTAGCATGATTCTAGCATGAATTAGCATGTTATTAGCATGATTCTAACATAAATTAGCATGTAACTAGCATGATTCTAGCATGAATTAGCATGCTACTAGCATGATTCTAGCATGAATTAGCATGTTGTTAGCATGATTCTAGCATGTTATTAGCATGATAGATAGATAGATAGATAGATAGATAGATAGATAGATAGATAGATAGATAGATAGATAGATAGATAGATAGATAGATAGATAGATAGATAGATAGATAGATAGATAGATGCCATATCTGGTTGTTAGGGGTGTGGCTAGAAAGTTAAAAGCTCATCAGTTATTGGTTGTTTGGTAGTCTGAGTTAAATGAGCCCAGTTAGAAGTCTGTGCGACAGTCTAATGTAGAGTTATGAGCTTAGAAAGTTTGATCCAATGTAAAGTCAATGAGAGTCTTTTGCAGTGGAAGTCTATAGAACAGTTTCTAGGGTCCCAAAAGTGGTTGCTAGGGTGTGGCCAGAAAGTTAAAAGCTCATCAGTTATTGGCAGTTAGGTAGTCTGAGTTAAATGAGCCCAGTTAGAAGTCTGTAGGACAGTCTGATGCAGAGTTACTGTATGAGGTCACAAAGTTTGGTCTAATGTTAAGTCAATGGGATTTTTCCGACTGTCCCGCAACGGTTTTTGGAAAACCGAAAGTCGGATCAGTCGGAAAAGATATAGCAACCCGAGTCAGACCAGTTTGGAGGTCTGTTGTGAGTTTGGTGGTAATAGCTTGAAAGCTTTAGGGGGAGATAGAGTTTAATTTTTAGTCTCAGAAGAAAAATAGGATAACAATAGTCTGGCTTGCTACACAAGCAAGCCTAACAAGGCTGGGTCGAAACACGGGAAACAAGACAGGGAAAACACGTTGTAATGTCATCTAAGATAAACAAGACTCGGCAAACTGAAAGGGTGAATGAGTAGCTTATGTAGTGAATGCAATCAGTCTCTGATAGTCCTCAGGTGTTGTGAGTGTATTCAGTCTAGATGAGTGAGCATGGTTGTCTGGGCGAAGTGCATGTCTGAATATGTAGTCCAGGAAAAGGCGGAAGTGAAGTCCATGGTTATTGTGTGAGAGCAAGCAATCTCTGGAGAACGATCGCTGGTTATCGTGACATAAATATTGTAATTGTATTTATTCACGCACACTATAATCTGCTGTTTTTCTCAATAGAACTCCATATAAAAGAGCCTACCTAAAGGGTTACACATGCTATACTCCACATAAAACTTTTTGCAATGCAACTGATGATCAACAGTAAGAATAACACATTTGACCTTTCCCCAACAGGGAAAACTAGCAACAATCAATAATGCATGAGTATTTGGTGTCATGGATTTGCATTCCAAAAATGTTGTTATAGTGAAAGTCAATGGGGCAAAAACAGCCACCAACATAACAAAAGGGTAGCAAATTTGAACAATTTACAAGGGTTAAATGGATTAAACATGAAAAACTACTTGTGTTGGTTCAATTCATATTAAATACAAAATTTGAGCAGCAAAAATTCTTTTTTTTTTGCCCCTTTTTTCTGTGCAGCACTGTGGAAGACGTTTAAAATGAAGATTATATCACTCTGTACAATCATCTTTATGTTGGTGTTCAATGTTTTGTGTGAAGGTACGTGTTACATGTTTTACAGTTACATTTTATTTTACTTTAATTTTGTGATAAATAAATGAAACTTTTACACTTCTTATGTAGATTTATTCTTGCACATGAGCGCTGACAGTAAACTACTAATTTAAGATCTGAATATTCTTGACTTCAGGTGAGGTTTTAAAAGCATATTCTTCTGTTTTTTTTTTTTTTCAAGAAAACGCAGACAATGGCTGGAACATCTCCTTCAGTCCAAGAGAAGTAACTGCAGTTAAAGGATTGTGTGCTCATATTTCATGTACCTTCACTTATCCAGTTGCCGAAAATCCTATTCAAAGCGTTATTTGGCAATCGTGTGTTGCCAAGGATAAATGTAACTTAATTTTCCAGAATAACGTGGAAAAAAATAAACTGAAAAAAAATGAATTAGGACATATTAAGATGCTCGAACCTGATCTGAGCAAAAACAACTGCAGCATCATCCTTAAAGACATAAAAGAAAATGAAAAGGAATACACATTCAGAATTAAAGCTAAACAGCAATACACCTTCAATCCCACTGTTAAAATCAGCATTAAAGGTAAGCCTTGCTTAGTTGTTGAGTTTAAAAGACCTTGCTGTAGTGATGATATACTTTTTCCATTTTTAAGATTAAGCTGCACAATTCAAATGTTATATGCCTTTATACTCTCAGCAAAGGACACTATGTTTCATGCAAAGAAAATTTAACATGTGGTTATGCTTTTAACACTGTTATGCCTATGAAACATTTAATTTAGGATTTAAATCTATATTGAACATGGACCCTTTTCACAAGACTATTATGATGCGTTTAAAAGTCATCAGCATCTTAAATCTTTAAATGTCTTTAATATTTAGATTTAAAAAAAATGTATGTACATTTATATCTATTGTTTAATGTATTATATCATCTTAGCATCAAATTACAAAAAAACTAATTGCCACTTGTTCGATGTGTTTCTATTAACACAGTGCCTATGGACAGGACAGTATATTTTATGTTGTTCTGTCTTAAGGCTGCTGTTTTTAGTCTCACACTATTGTTTTACTTTTTCTGAAAGTCCTAATAACACAATCTTGGATTTTTTTAAATTATTATTATTTCAACAAATAGAATTGTAAAATTATTTCTTGTACTGTCCCATTCACTGTGCTCCAAGTTTACCAACTATGATGACTTCTGCTACTGAGAAACCCAGAAAAACGAAAAAGGGTTCATTGTAATTTTTTAGACTGTAGTAATCAGCCATGTCTCTTATGATGTGTACCTCTCTCTGCAGACGAGCCTACGCTGGTTGTTCCTCCTCTCAGTGAAAAAGTGGAGGTCAATCTGACATGTTCAGCTCCTTTTCCTTGTCCTGAAACTCCTCCTGTTATAACATGGTGGATCAAGACAAAAGAGGAAAACTACATAAAACTAGACAATAACAAAATCACTCAGGTCCACTCAGAACATGTTTACTACTCATATCTGACCTTAATCCCAACGTCTGACCAACATGATGGCACTGTAGGATGTGACGTGAGATACGGAAACAAAAAGATCAATACCAACAACACCCTAGAAGTCAAGTGTGAGTTTACAAGTTTACATTTTTAACTACAATAATGAAACAAGATGCTATTATTAACAAAACAATATGCTATTTTCAGAAGAGCACAGCATACTGACATTATCTGTTATTATTATATTTGATTAATTTGATATTCTATTTATCAAATATCTCTGTGACGATCAGAGATTAGAGCTAATAGCATTTATTTGTAATATTAATGTGCCAAAACTAATCCTGCTGCTGTTTTTATTTCAACAAAATGTCCATGCATTAACATTAATGTAATATTATGCCTTATTGTAAAATGCAAATGTTTTTATTAAATCTGTAAGAGTCCAGCAGTGGAGTTTGGTGAAGATCATGCCCAGGTCAGGTCTCTTCATCATGGCCAAGTGTATTTATAGTAATTTGTATTAAGCTGGTCTCTGACCTTTTACCTCCTAATTTTGTCCTATATGTCATTAATCAAACTACATATATAGATTATTTTATTTTATATTTATTTATATACCTCTTTGTATTACACCTCTGCTTAGATGCATTGCTTTGACTCTGAATGCGTACTTTAACTGTTTAACTCAAGGAGACTTGTAGCCTTTTTCAAAAAGAAAAGTTCATTTAACTTCCCCCTACATGTCAAAAATCAAAAAGCATTTACAGGTGTTATATTTTAGATTTATTAATAGATTTGTTTTTTCCACTACTGGTTAGATGCATTTCTTTGCCTCTGGTTTTTGTACTCCACCCAATGATAATAGATTAAATCTAAAATAAACTAATCTTTTTTCAGATGTCCAGGCTCTTCAAATTGTGGGTGAAAACACACTGATGGAAGGAGACACTCTTAATCTGACCTGCACTTTTAGGAGTCACCCACCAGCATCTAATCCTGTATGGCGTTTCAACGGAAACACAGACAACCTGAATACACAAACATCTGCAGGAACACTCATGATTGCCAATGTGGGAAAGGAGCATGCTGGGATTTATGTCTGTGAGATGACATATATGAACAAGACTCTGAATGCATCCATTACGATTAACATCACTGGTGAGTAGATTTCCATATTCTACAATTTGAAATGTTGATAGCCTTAGAATGCCATGGACTTACTACATAAACTATGTAGTAATGTACAACCTATTATTAACAGTTGAAAGATTTGCTGCACACAGACACAAATATTAAAGGTAAAAGCAGCTTAAAAATTAGGTACAGACATCAAAATGATTACAGCATTTTAGCATGATTATTAAGCTTCAGTCTTGGGAAAGGTATCACCTATTTTCATAACTGAACTTGTTAAAATGTGCAGAACATTCAACATTTTATTCACACATGGAAGTGTTCTGAGTGATAACAGCATGCAAATGCTGTTTGGTATAAGTGTGACTGCTATAATTCTGACTTTTCCCTCAATATATTCTTTTCCCAGCAAAGACATGGTGTTTAAAACACATCCTCTGAAGTTGCTGCTGGAGCTTTTTCAGGACCAAGAAAGGCCATCATTAATGAATTTATATATATATATATATATATATATATATAAAATGGATTAAAGTCATATGGTTTTATATAAACATTTTTTTTTTAATTTGCCCTCTCTTTATATTTATACAACTTAAGTTTTATCTCACCTTTGTCTGTTGGCTTAAAATTAGGTGAAAGTGATTGAAAGCATACGGCTAAATAATGGGTTTTAGAAGAAATTGAAAGCTGAGTGTTTGCAATCTTTTTTTTAAAATTCGTCTTCTCTTCATATTTACACACTTTTAATTCTATCTAAGATTTGCGTGTATAAAATAAATGCATTTTCAATAACAGCTTTAGAAGTATATTTTAAAAGTTTTACTATGTATTGTGCTTGTTCAAAGTGCCATTACAAATAAATTGTGTGAATAAATACAACTTGTTGACTTCATCCTTCCATTTTAAAGTCTGTCAATAGGACTTATATTTTGGTAAACAAAATGAAGCATTTTGTGTACAGGATAAAGACCGGGTTTTGGTAAAGACAGAATTGTTTATTTAATTTTTTTTATTTTAGAAAAAGAGAGAAAACTATCATCTCAGTTTAGCAGCATTAGACTTCACACTCACACTTGACTTCTAGACATCTTTCTCTTGGCACTAATGCTTTTATTTCCGTATTTCATATCACACCTTACATTAGCAAATCTAACATGTATTTTCCAACACAATCCCACGGCAATTCGTTACTTTTTCATTTAATGGCTAATTCGTATGAATTCCTACAATCTAATTTGTACTATTTAGTACGATTTGTTTATCCCCCAATGACGGTTGGGGTTAGGGGTGGGGTTAGGTGCCACGCCTCCTTTTTAAAATCGTACCATTTCGTACGACTGAACTCGTACGAATTCGTACGAATTAGCCACTAAACCGGCAAAACGTAAAATACTTACGTTTTCTCGTGAGATCAGGCTGGTATTTTCTGCATGTATGTTTGTGTTAAATGTACTGTAATAGCTTTTGTTTGGGCCATTACATAAAAAAAATCAAGAAGAGTATAGTATTACTGAAATTATTATTTTAAGATTCTTAAAGTATCTATCAAGTATTTCTAAATGATCAAAGTGTAGAACCATTATTATGTATAGATAAATGTATAAAGTAGAACTGTTATTATGTATTATGTATTTCTTCCATACTGAGTCAATATGGCGTCAAAATCAACTTGATTGCTTTTATATTTTGCATATTCCTTGCACAATTCTTGATGCCATTTGCACTGTTATAGTAATTGGTCATATATTACCTTTATATTACCAAGCTATTAAAGTACCTCAGTGTATAATGGACATCCTGTTTTCCAGGAAGAATCTACAGTTGCACTAGAATGAGAGTATACATTAGTTTCTAGCAAAATTAGCAGAGAAAATAGTTTTTAAAATTATTTTATGTTAGTCTTATTACACAATGTAACTACCGAATAATTGTTTTTAAACAAAATACAATGTTCAAATGTTCAAATCCAATTTAGTTCACTATGCTAAGCTAAGCTAAAAGCCAGAACAAGAAATCGGCTGAATAGAATAAAAAATGGTTCAAGTCAGCTGTTTAACTTAAAAAAAAAGGTGTGGTGTTCCTTTAACTTGCCCTACATGTCAAAAATGAAAAATGCATATACTTTTATTATACATGTATACTTTTTTTCCAATTCTGGTTAGATGCATTTCTTTGGATCTGTATTTGTACTCTGCACCATGATTGTTTATAAAATAAACTAAAATAATATAATCATTTTCAGAGGTCAACATTTTGGGTGAAAACAGACTGAAGAAAGGGGACACTCTCAATCTTACCTGCAGTTTTAAGAATCACCCACAATCATCATCTAATCCTGTATGGAGTTTCAATGGAGATGCAGATAAACTCAAGAACCAAGCATCTGCAGCAAATCTCATCATTGATAACGTGACAAAGGAGCATGCTGGGATTTATGCCTGTGAGATGACGTACATGAAAAAGACTCTGAATGCATCCATCACGGTCGACATCACTGGTAAGTAGTATTTTCAACATAGGCTCATTGTGAAAACATACACCCCTATACGTTTCTGGAGAACATGAATAATGTAGCCAGAGCTACGTATGGCTGCATTTTTTCTTTAATACGAATGGTATGAGGCGGTATGACGCCGCCGACAGCTTTTGTTTCTTTTCACGCTACCAGCTGACTGCTTACCTCCATGTAGATACCAGTTTGCCAGTAGCTCACCACATATGTCAGTGGACTTGTGACACAGAGTGGAGTTGACCACGACAAAAGGGTTCAAGGCTGGCAAAGAAAGATTCCAGAAATCGGGTAAAACAAAAGGCAAAAATAAAACAAATAAGTAAATGACAGGGTGAGAATGTGGTAAAATCTGAAAATGTGGTAAAAATCAGACTGCTGCGAAGGTTTTTCTTTTTCTGGATTTCCTTTGAAAACACTGTTAGTTGGGTTTAGGAAAGGGGTGAATGGGTCAATCATTGCGTTTGAAAACACTATCGGTTGGGTTTAGGTCAGTCGGTCAGTCAGTCAGTCAGTTGACAGCAGCCTCTGGTGGATTTATGTGAGAACAGCAGGTGCGAATGGCACACGCAAGAGAAATTTAAGATCTGAAAAAGCTTACATTGCGGCCTCTGGTGGGTTCACGAAAACGAAAAACCACAAAAAACATAACTCCTCAGACACAATTTATTCTATCCAGAAATGTATACAGGGGTACATATCCATAATGAGCCTCCATTTTCTATTCCTAGTAACATTCAAAGGGCACCTAAAAATGCATCATTTTCATAAGTACCAAACTCTCTACTGAAGCTTGCACTCGTCTAATAGCATTCAGAAAAATTATTCCCTTATTTGTAAGTTGCTTTGCACAAAAGTGTAAATGTAAAATGTGCCATGAGAACTGTTTATAGCCTTCAATTGCAACAAAAGTGCAACAGTACATATGACGGAAACTATGTGTCAGCAACTGATGAAATACTGAATTGACAAACAGACCCTCCATTTAGGGAAGTGTGTTGCATGCTTACAAGCTGTCATAAATTCTCAGTAATTTTTTTTTAAACATTACAAATTCTAAAAACATTCATATCTTTATACAGAACATGACATGGGAAGAAATAATACACGTGCAGGTAATTCTGAAATCTTATTTTCTTTTGACACTGTGTACTTTTATTTGAAGATGATTTCACCATATTGCTGAATTTACATTTCAACATTGTTCTCATTTAGGAGGAGGGTTACTTCTCAGGTTTAAGGATTAAATGACATTCTAATTAAACTACTTTATTTGTCATTTATTGTGAAATATTAGCTATTAACTTTTTTCCAGGACAAATAAATGTTTTAGGAACATGCTATTCTCACCTCAGAAGAAATTATATTTCCTATATATGTTTTTATTGATGTTCTGTGTTTTTAAATTGAAGGTGTGCTGGATTTCCTGTTGAGCATCCCAAATATCTTCACATTTGTAGCAGGAATGGCATTTTCAGCATTAATCTTCTCTGTGATATTGTGCTGTTGGGTGTGCTGCCACAGGTAAACACACAATTACACTTAAATTAAAGCATTTACTGCATTTTACACTGTGCGCTTCAACTTAAATCCACTTGACACTTATTCTTTCCTAACAGAGGCAAGAAACAAAAGGTCCCGACAGCAAATCCAGATGCTGAAATTAATCTGGAGGTAAGGCAAAGGCTTTTAAAGTTAAAATTAGCATGAACAATCATTGTCAAATTGCTACTATGGAGTATTGCATTACATTAGATAACTATTATAATTTGATAATGGTCACAGTTTATTTATTCTCACTTTGTACTAAACTCATCTCGTTGGTTTTAACTCTCAGGGCGCAAAGCGCATCTGTTCAGGTTGTATTTATGTTTTCACTTCCTGTATTTAGTTCCTGTTTCTTTTCATGCTACAGTTGTCCCATGTCTGTTATCATAGGTACTTAATCTACAAATAACTTTTGTTGAAGTCCTCCTTATAATATTTTAAAGGTGATGGAAAAATGCATTTGACCACAGTGTCGGAAAGAGTCCTAAAATACACTTGCAGCCAATCAGCAGTTTGCCAAGTAATGAAAGCAGATGTATTAAAGTGGGGGTCAAGATTGAAGTCTCTGTGGTTGAAGTCGGCATAAAATGGAAGTAAAGATTGTCCTTTTTTCCTCTATAGTGATGCACATCCACTTGAAACTGTACTGAAACTAGAAAAGAAATGTAAAGTATGGTGGAGTATTTGTACTTTATATTCATAGTGATATATTTATAGTGATTTCATACTTTGGGAACTGATTGGCTTGTTGAAATATAGGTTAAAAATGAGACACGCACTTATAACCCGCCCAAAAGGCATTCAATGTGACCAGAAGTGAAGTAGTTTCGTGTGGAAGAGAAAGTTATGATGTTTAATAAATTATGAAGGCAAATTATTTTTTACAAAGTAATGTAATGTACAGATACATCATTTATAACAAGATCTCTAGTCTACATATTTAAAAAAAGATGATGATAAGATAGTCAACAATGAGTCAAATGAGCCAGGTTACTGTTTACACCTATTTAAATGTGTTTCTTTTGTCGACCACTTTTCTGATGTATGGATGGGTATTGGATTTCTCTAATCTTTTAATCAACTACAGTGAAAACTAGTGCTACTGTCATACTGTACTGTAGCCTCCAAAAAATATTGAAAAATAACTAAAAAAGTAAAAAAAAAAAGTATCAGATCAATTAAACACACCTCATGAAAAGGCTACTAATGCATTGACTAAAGAAATTATAACTGATTTTCTTTATTTCTGATCAATTTACGCACACTTTATTCAGTTTTCCAGTTTTAGCATACTCATTTTTGTTTGTATTAAATTTGTTTAACAAATATTTGAGGATATCTAACGTAACTAAATTAAGTATCTTCAAATAAAATAATTAATCATGTCAAAATAATTCATCAAGCGGGAAAAAAAAAGATTACCTGTCACCGACTCGGTCTCAGTCATTCCCCTCGCTGGCCAGCAGAGGTCATCATCACCAGACTATTAACATTACGTCATCCCCACTGACTGATTGGCACACACACCTGCAGCACATCTCTCAATCACCTGGCTCACACATATAAGCAGCACACACACACACATACACAGCTTCAGTGCAAAGTCTTGTTCTGCCCTGGCTAACACTACTGAGTGTTTCACATCCTTGCCTGCTTTCCCTTTGCTTACCTTGGACTGTTTATCGACCTTGTCTTGCCTGCCTTGAACACTAGCCTGTTTATTGACTCTAATACATGCCGCCAGCCTCTGACCCATGCCTGCATACTCACCCAGTGTTGGCCTGCCGCCAGCCCTTTGACTTGATACTACTGTTTGATGTGAGTTCGCACACGCATACCATCTGTGTGCTTATTGTTATTAAACTCTGTTTAATAAATATACTGCAAATGGATCTCTCTGTGTCAGCCACTTTGATACATCATTCAACACACCCAACATCATTCGAAGATTTCGAAGCTTAAATCGCATTTCTGAAAGTAGCTTTGAAAAGAATAAAATTATTAAAAGCAAATTAAAGACTATATGCGTGAAATAAAACATTCACAAAGCTGCATCTAATGAAAAACCAGTTCGCAGGCTATTCTTAGATGTCTAATAATAATTTTCGCTGACAGACAATTTTTAGACTTCTTTTAGCCAAGCCGTGAATAAATGAAGTCTAATAGACATCTAAACAAACACAAAAACACTGGGTTCTTTCATGAGACTATCCTGTCAAAAATGAACATAAAGCTAATAAAAAAAATATGGAAAAAAAGCACCGATTGAAAGCACTGAGCAAACCAAATCATTCATTAGAAATTGATCATGTAAAAAGACTGATCATCCTACACACCCAACAACTTCCAAAGTTTTCAAGGCTTAAATAGAATTTCCAAAATTTGCTTTGAAGAAATTAAAATTAATAAAAGCTCATTTAAGACTACACTCTAAAAAATATTGTTTAGACCAAAAAATAAATAAATAGTAAAGTTATGCAACAGTTTACATCAATATGTTCAAGTTCCAACAACAATATCTAACAAACATAATAGCCAAATGACCTTTTTTCTCTTCAATCACATAGCATAAACTCCATTTTTAAAGTTGAGTACTCAAAAAAATACTATTAAAAAAACTAATTTTCAATTAAAATTTTAAATAAATTCAGTGTTATGTACTTAATAACCTTAATTTTGCATGCAAGTTTTCAAGTTAAGAACCGTTCGAGGTTACTAAAGTAACCCTTCGTTCCCCGAGGAGGGGAACGGAAGCACTATAAGTGGATTTGATTGTAAAATCCACGCATTGGGAGGTTCGGTTCAGAAGCTACTCGTCTGAAAGAGTATTGAACGGGCCAATTAAGAATGAATTGGCAGCGCAAGCCTGCGCAGGTGAGCGGCATAAGCAATCAACTGAGTATATAAGCTCACCTGGCGCCAGCAGACGCTATTCCTTTTTAAGCTGAAGAGACTTTCAACAGCTAAGGGACAGTCATTATGGCGACGGAGTATAGTGCTTCCGTTCCCCTCCTCGGGGAACGAAGGGTTACTTTAGTAACCTCGAACGTTCCCCTTCGGGGGGAACTTCAGCACTATAAGTGGATTTGATTGTAAAATCCACGCATTGGGAGCCCATTGAAAGCGCCATAATGACTGCACCTTACCAACACCCCCGATGAGGAGATAGTCCTGGCCCTAATTTATCCTACTTCAACAGAAGTTTTACGGATTTATATATATTTTTTGGGAAGTCGTGAGCATCTAGATAATTCTAGGAAAATACGACAGTACGTTGGGAAGCGTGCAATCCCGATAGGGAGGACGCTGCGGAGGCCATCCGTTACCCAAGGGGGGATAGATGGCAGAATTTACATATGGACTAGCCCTAAAAAGGGGGAGTACGCATAGCAAAAGAGTGGTTAGCGGGGAGGGAAGACACGGGTCCGCCCAGGGGGGGGACTTAACCGTGGCGGAATAAGTATATGGGATCGCCTAGTGGGGATCACGCATAACAGGCACCTTTACCCAAAACGCGGGCTGACCAGCGGGCAGACCTACAACGTAGTGGGCCAGCAAGTGACTCCTCCGCTGAGTCAGTGCTGGGGGCCACGGAGGAATCTGCAGGGCTCACCTGACGGGGAACTTTACTGACAGATAAAAAGGCGCACATATCTCCGTGTTAGGGAAAATGGCGCAGCAAGCGTGTTTCAACACCCTACCGAATTGTTTCCTCAATCACCAAGGGTTACCTAATACCCTTGAGGAAACCGGCTCCACTCGCAGATTGTAAAACCTTGCAAATGTGTTGGGTGTCACCCAGCCCGCAGCTCTACAGATGTCTGTTAGAGGGGCGCCGCGTGCGCGCGCTCGAGAGGATGCGAAGCTCCGAGTGGAGTGCGCACGCGCTCTCGGGGGACGCGGCTCATCTCGGCTCTGATAGTGAAAGAAAGGCATCCACAATCTAGTGGGAACTTATTTCGGTACGGCACTTCCCTGCTGCCGACCGCTATAACAGACGAAGAGCTGCTCAGATGATCTAAACTCTGAGTGCGGTCCGGATAATACGCAAAACGCGAACTGGACAATAAAAAGGGCTGGGTCTGCCTCCTCCGAGGGCAGCGCTTGCAGGCTCACTACCTCGTATTAAAACGGAGTGGTAGGAACCTTGGGCACATATCGCGGGCGGGGTCTCAGGACGTGAGAGAAGCCAGCTCGATTACAGGCACGAGTCACTGACCGAAAAATGCCTCCGGGTCCCCGACCCTCTAATCGATATCAACGCGACCAGCAGAGCTGTCTTCAGGGACAGAAAGATACTGAGTCGAGGATCGAAGGGATCTGACGCGGCTTGTGTAGCGAGGGAGAGATCCTAAGAGGGCATGAGAGGGGGCGGGGTGGATTAATTCGCTTAACGCCCCTGAGGAACCGGATGATGAGGTTATGCGTTCCCACGGTGCTGCCAGCCACCGCGTTATGAGAGCGGAGATGGCAGCCACGTAACCTTGAGTGTGGAGGGCGACAGCCTGCTCTCCAACTTCTCTCGGCGTAAAGAAAGCACAACGCTGATCTGGCAAATTACGGGGGTCTTCTCAGCGAGAGACACACCATTCAGTGAATAGACTCCACGTCAGGGCATAGGCGCGCTCGGGGAGGGGGCTCTAGCCCGAGTGACGGTATTAGCCACCGCAATCGGAGGTTACCCAAGTCTTCCTCGCGTCTAAAAATCTCTTCAAAGATCGGCGAGGGTGCCAGGTGGTGCCCTGTCCCTGAGAGAGTAGGTGCTCTCTCGAAGGGACTGCCAGGGGAGGGCTATCGCGAGGGAGAGCTCTGACATCCAGGTCCGGTTGAGCCAGAGTGGCGCAACCAGCAACCTGTTCCTCGTCCTCCCTGACCTTGCACAGTAACTGCGCGAGCAGGCTCACTGGGGGAAACGCGTATTTGCGCGTGCCCCGAGGCCAGCTGTAAGCCAGTGCATCCGTGCCGAGAGCACTCGGTCAGGGAAAGAACAACTGGCAATGAGCGCTCTCGGGGGAAGCAACAGATCGATCTGGGCTTCCCCGAATCGCGCCCATATCAGCTGCCAGACTCGGGGTGGAGTCTCCATTCTCCAGGACGCAAGGCTGCCGTGAGAGCGCATCGGCTGC